TAACCCTGCAAAGTAATTAGTATTGAGCTTCATTTTATAGAAAACTGGAGGTCACATAGCAAATAAGTCTTTTATTTTTCTTTCTTTCTTTTTAATAATTCTTTATTGTTGAAAGTATTACATATGTCCCCTTTTTTCCCCATTGATCCTCCCCCCGCCAGCCCGCACCCCCACCCCCGCCCAGGCCCTCACTGACCCATTGTCTATATCCGTGGGCCATGCGTATATGCATGCAAGGTCCTTGGTTGGTTCTCCCCTCCACCGCCTTCTCTCTGAGATTCCGCACTCTGTTCCATGCTTCCATGTCTCTAGGTTCATTCTGTTCATCAGTTTGTTACTTAGATTCCACATGTGTGTTCAGTCATGTGATACTTGTCTTTCTCTGACTGACTTATCTCACTTAGCATATACTCTCCAGGTTCCTCCATGCTGTCTCAAAGGGTAAGAGATTCTTCTTTTTTACTGCTGCATAGTATTCCATGGTATAAATGTACCACAGCTTTTGTATCCACTCATCTACTGATGGGCACTTGTGCTGTTTCCAGATCTTAGCTATAATAAATTTTGCTGCTATGAACATAGGGTGCATACATTCTTTCTGATTGGTATTTTAGGAGTCTTGGGCCAGCAGTCGCCAACCTTTCGGACCTCACGGACCACCAGTGGTCTGCGGACCACTGGTTGGCAACCCATGTCTTAGGCTATATTACTAGAAGTGGGATTATTGGGTCAAATGGCAGTTCCATCTTTATTTTTTTGAGGAGACTCCATACTATTTTGCATGCAAATAAGTCTTAACACATTGTGGACGGATCACGAGAATTCTTGCTTCGTATTACACAGTGTTTTACAAAGTATCATACTTTAAAAAGATATTATTAGCTTGTAAGAACATGTAATAAATAACTTCAAAATGGGTATTTAATTTTAAAGCGTGTCTTTAACATTTATGTAAAAGGTTTTTTGTACTTGTTTAATAGAAACTTATCTGGCCACTGGGTAAAGCTAGCAATAAAACTACTGGTCCGCAATGTGTTAAGTGTTGGTATTTGAACCCAGAACTTTTTCAAAACATCAGAGTTTATTAGTATATCCTTTCTACTATCCTGTGATTGTTCCAGTTTATTTGTTATTGTCATCTTCTGGAATAGAATCTAGTCTTGCTTACCTTTGGTCCTTCTCAAACTGGGGTACACAATCTCTGGAGTACACAGAATAGTGTAGGGTGCATCTGAAGCTGCAGAATAAACTTGGCTCATTGTCTTGCAATGTCAGTTTTACTTGATGGTAAGTAATGTAAACATAGACTAAATACTGATGTGTTAAGGCAGTGTGAATGTTTAAGATAAAACACAAGGTTTGTTTGCCCTAGGCCTCTCTGTGCCCTGGGTGTATGAGTTTGGGTTAGTATGCCACTAGGAGGCACATGAAAGTTAAAGAAAAACTGTAGATGTATATTTATTCATAGAAAGAGGGACTGGATAAGTTTATATATCTGTCTTGCAGCAAAAGGAACAAGATTGTTCATCTTACCCTCTTTTAAGTAGAGCCACAAAATCACATCGATGAGTTGTGATATAAAGCACTAGTATTTTCAGGGCAAATAAATGATGTCCAGGACATTCTTCTGCTGAAAACTGGCTGTCAAAACTACTCAGACAATATGTTTCCTCTCTAGAAAAGGCTTTGGCCTTGTGTGGGGGCGTCGTCCCCCTCCCCAATTGGTTCTGTTCATGTGTGTTGGCAAGATTGATGCATATATGATGCTTTAGACCAGTTGATGAAACAATTTTGTCAGCCTTCTGTTGATTTTGTGATAATTTTCTCCAGTAAAATGATTCATTTCAAAAATTTCTCCCTAAGAAATAATATTGCAATAGTCCTGTTTACATGGTTAGTAGGACACTCACTCACTCAATAAATATCCTATGACAGGCTCTATTCTATGTACTGCAACTATAGTTGTGACGAGGCCTTACAAGCTTATATTCTAGTGGGAGGCAGACAGATGACAAATATACAGGGTGCGGCAAAAGTAGATTTACAGTTGTTCATATGGAAAATAATACGATAACTAACAAAAAAAACATAAGAATAAACTGTATTTCACATACTTTTGCCTCACCCTGTATGGTCAGGTAGTGAGTACTACAAAGGAAAATGAGATGTAGAGCTTCTCTTGGGGATTTTTACCATATTCAACGTGAAATTGTCTGACTTAAGAAACGGGTAGTGGCCATTCTAAGAACTTTTTGTCACATTCTGTTCCCTGTTCCATCTCAAGAAGTAATCTGTTACATCTCTCTTACTTTTCTGCTTGTATAAGCCTCTTTTCTTTAAAGTTGAGTATCCTGATAGTTTTTTATGATATAAATTCATTTATGCCATTTCACATTAAGGCTGTTCTCAGCCATTAGTTGAATAGCTTTTGCATGGTTACAGATTCTTTCAACAATTTGATTATAGTTTATGATGCTTTTTTTGAATAGCCTTTTGAAGATCAAATTAAAATTTGCAGCCCAACAGCTGAAAATTATACTTTCACCTAGGAGATGAATTGTGCCTTCTAAAATCTAAAACCCTAATAGGGAAAAATACAAATTGATATTTTTGACACCAATAGGGTTTTGGTATAAGTTTTATTGTTTGTGCTGGATTCTTTGTATACTGTTTGTACATCATTCTCTTCTGAGTCAGAATAACAGAGCTGTCAGTAAGCTGTCTAACCTGAAGCATTCCTTAGACTCCCTTCAGTTAAATCAGTTCTGGAAAGTAGCAAATTACTATAAATGGGAGCAAAGAAATATCTGAGCTTAAGATCTACACCTCTACTTAAGAGAATGTCTTTAGATACTTGGACAGCTCCACAGTTTAGAAGCAGGAAGGTACTTTGGACTGGTCAGATGTATCTCAAAGGGGCTAATCCAGCTTGTTGTGATATATTTTGGAAAAATTTGGAATTTGTGTGTGTGTGTCTGCTCAGTGGTCATCTCAGTTGATAAACTTTTTTTTTTTTTAATCCTCAGCTGAGGATATATGTGTTTTGTTTTTCATTGAATTTTAGAGAGAGGAATGAAAAGAGAGAGAGAAAGAAAGAAAGATCGATGAGAGAGATTTGAGAGAGAAACATCGATCGGTTGCTTCCAGTCCAGGCCTTTACCGGGGATCAAACCCCCAACCTTTTGGTGTATGGACGATGCTCCAACCAACTAAGCCACACCCGCCAAGGTTCAGTTGATAAACTTTTATAAAAGATTTCTTTCTCTTTTCTTGGAGTCGGGCAGACTTGTTCCCTTTTAGAAGGTCCATGTAGCTCTGCTATTGTAACATATTGCCATTGGTCAAGGGTTTCCTTTTGATCTGGATGAGCTAGAGCTCTGTGCAAACTCAGCTCCGACTCTTGACTCATCCTGGCTGTGCTGCAGTGCGCATGTCCTCATGCTGAATCCCGTTAGCTCGTAGTTGTCATGGTCACCGTGAAGTCACAGGTTTCTATCCCTTACTAAACTAGCATTGCAAGGACACGTTGTTGTGTCCTTCAGCACGAACTGAGCCCTGTTCAGCACTACTTCTGGCATAATAAAGTGGCCGAATATTAGTACTATTCTAAATGCTGTTTAATGACTTGCAACTACTATGATTTAGATTGGGGATTGAGGGAACTATACCTCTGTTAGAACATTTGGACTTGGTTATCAGCTACAGAACTTTAGGAAAATTCTCAATTTTTAGCATTTGAAATACTTTTTTTTTTTTTTTTTTTTTTTTTTTTTTTAGTAAGTATCTTTTTTGTTTTTTATTGGTTTTTGAGAGAGAAACATCAATTGGCTGCCTCCTGCACGAATGAAACCTGTAACCTGGGCTTGGGCCCTGACCAGGAATCCAACCAGTGACCTTCTGGTGCTCGGGATAACACTCAACCAACTGAGCCACACCAGCCAGGGCTGAGATACTCTTTTCCTGAAGTTGGCACCTCGCCATCCTTCATCTTCCTGCATTCTGATTTATTTGGCTTATAGGTGACATTATTTTCTTTGTAGAGAAAATAGTCTGAGTAAGGCAATATGGGGATGATGGGAAGTGGACAGCTTCAGAGAGACACTTAAAACACAGAATCTGGACACCTCAGGTTGAGATTACAGCCATGTCTTACATACCTACCACTTTTCATTCCTGGCTTTCACCAGCTCACTGGATAACAGATATCACTGAATTTTTACAAATCCTAGTTTTCCTGATTTTGTACCCTACCTGATAAGTAGCAACTCACTGAAATGGTTAATAGCTAGTTCAGGCTACATGACAACACTTTTCTGGGTTTTGTTCAGCTTTCTAGTTTTCATTTTCTTTCTTGATTAATATCTGCATCATTCAGCTTGTCACAGTAGATAAGAGAAGCCACTCACTGGGTAATTGGCTCCCATCTTGCTGACATCTCCCTATTAGTCACTCATGCCATCACTATGCTATTACCGTTGTCATATTTTCAGAGAGGAGGATAATAACGTTCTTTAGAATCTTTTTCCGTCAAGAAGAACAGTGCTGAAAAAGCTTTAGTTTTGCTAGTTAGAAAACATACTGAAATTTTCCTTTCCCTTTGCTCTCTGGACATATAGCATAGTTAGGTGAGCCTTTATATTTCCGGCCTCATGTCTTTAATAGTCCTTGGATCTTCTCTTGTAAGATCAGAGTTCTTGATTCTAGCTGAATTGTATCTGCTATACTGAACATAAAGAAATGAATATCAGGATTTCTTTTTAGTTTCTTCCTTGGTTTTAAGTTAAATTGACGAGCGGCCTGAGGAGGGGGAGAGTACATTCAGATCTTTTCCAGCTAAGATAATGTTCATATACTCAGAGATAATAAGATTGATCGCTAAGAAAATAAGGGTTATAATTGGGCTTTATTTCTTTTGGCCTAAACATTGTTGGTGAGGGTCTTTTTCTCAAGGCCTTTTCTTGAATTCAGCATATTTGATAAAACTGCTCTTTCTCTTTCAGTGTTTTTTTTTTTTTTTCCCTTGCCAACGAGTACCAACCAAGTCCTTCTAAAGAATTCCATTTCTTTCAAGCTCGGATGGTAAACCTGACCAGAAGGGAGGACAGTGGTGGGAGGGAGAAGGAAGGAGTTGACCCATATCAGAAAGTCACAAAACCAGATCAAAGTATGAGGACAACTGAGACATTTTGCATTCTCCCTGTCCATAGGAAGGGTTTTTCTTTCTTCCCAAGTTTTAACTTCCTTTTTATTTAAGAGTTAGCTTCAAAGTCATCTCTGAACAGATGAATTGAGTTCAAATAATAGTTAATTCTCTAAGGCAATGTTTTTCAACCTTGTCTGTACATAAGAATCACTAGGGAAGCTTTTCAAAATTTTGGTGCCCAGGCTACACCCAGAACAATTAAACCATCTCTGGGGTGAGACTCAGGCATGACATTACTATTTTTTAAATTTCTGTCCCCCACAAAACAACAACAACAACAAAAAACACCATGGGGTTGTTCCATTGTGTAGCTAAAGCTAAAAGCCATAGTAATGAAACACAAAGTAGTTATTAGTACTCTTAGAACGCTTGAATTTTAGTCTAAGAAATTCCAGGTTTTTATGAAGAAAAATTAAAAACTAAAAACATCTTGTAATCAGCCTACCTTTGCAGACTTATTTTCTACAATATTCCTTCCCCCGCTACTCCCCCCCACAGCTATCCTGTGCTCCGGTTTAATTGAACCATACTCCTTCTTGATCTTGCTTTTATTCGTGTATGTGTTTTTCAGACTTTGTTTATTCCATTCAAGAAATAACCCCCCATTTTTGCTTTTTATAATCCCACACTACCACCTTTTTGAAGCTTCTTTTTATTATCTTCAGCCAGAAGGAGGCTCTCCCTTCAAAACTTCTCTTTTTTATTCTTAATATTCTGCATTTGTGTTTTATTTCTCCTGCCAGTGGGCAAAGTCTGGGTTTTATTCTTGTGTATTCCCTTCATTGCCTGATATCTTTACATTTCTAGTAGTGCCTGTATCCCAGTAAACATTACATCAGTATTTGCTTAAATAAAAGTAATTTCATGCTTTTGTGATGTCATGCTGCAGGTGTGTGTATTCTAGAACCAGGGAGAAAGCAGATGTATCTTTTTTTTTCTTTCATACTTTTACAGTTATTCAAATTGTTACTTATGATGACATTTTTACTTATTTATGCATGTGATTTTTGTTCCATGTCTAATCAGATTCTGGAGAGGTTTGGAGTACTCTGTAGCTTAGAGCAAAACATGCTTATTAATGCCAGTTAGAAGCATTTGCCCGGGGTTATTTTCTGTCATGTTGGAAACAAGACTTTGTCAGAGGTCTTGCTATTTTTCAATATAGGTTATGTTTTAGAGTTTGGCCACTCTTTTATCTGTACATTGAGAAGATAAATCTTTCCCAAATCCTGAAGACCAATGAAAAAAAAATTTTTTTTTTTAATTTTCATTTGAGGATATTTTTTCCTATTGATCTTTAGAGAGAATGAAAGGGAGGGAGGAAAGGGGAGGAGAGAGAGATCAACAGACAGACATCAGCTGGTTGCCTTCTGCAGGAGCCCCAGTCAGGGTCAGGGATCCAACCTGCAACCAAGGTACATGCCCTTGACCGGGAATCGAACCCACGACCCTTGAGTCTGTGGTCTGATGCTCTAACCACTGAGCAACTGACCAGGGCTGCAATTTTGTTTTTTAGCACAATCCCAGTACCAAGATTTCAAGTTTCTATACTGAATGACAGACAATAAAGGGAATATTGTTTTGTAAAGCAGACACAAGCCTTTGGTGATTCAAAGAGGAATTTTAGATGCACAGTGAGAACTAAGGAGGAAGCAAATGTGGAACTATAGCAAAAAAGGGTGTGTTTTTTTTTTTGCTTTTTTTTTTTAAAATATATTTTATTGATTTTTTACAGAGAGGAAGGGAGAGGAATAGAGAGTTAGAAACATCAACGAGAGAGAAACATCGATCAGCTGCCTCCTGCACACTCCCCACTGGGCATGTGCCCGCAACCAAGGTACATGCCCTTGACCGGAATCGAACCCGGGACCCTTCAGTCCGCAGGCCAACGCTCTATCCACTGAGCCAAACCGGTCAGGCTTTTTTTGCTTTTTAAACAGCATCATTAATTGTGTATATATGTGTGTTCTGTTTTTTTTCATGACAGCTATTCTCAGCTTCAGTTCTTTAATGCTTTTGTTGTGGAAGACTGACTTCAGGGTGAATTATATAAGAACCCTGCAGGGGCAGGGAGGGCTGAGACTGAGACCATGCGGAATTATTTTCCTGCCACCTACCTAATTTAATTAGGCTAATTCTCCAATAGTCAGTGTCATTTTACATGATCACCAAATAAATCACAGTATTTCTCAGTAGTATTGACTGTGAGAGATTTGCCTTCCCACTTCCTCACCAAATAGGACAGTGGTTCTCAACCTTGGCTGCACATTAGAATCACATGGGAATCTTTTTAAAATCCTGATTTCTGGGCCTCATCCTCCGGAAATTCTGTTTCTTTGTTATGGGGTGGGGCCACAACATTAGTAACAAAGAAACAGAATTTCCAGAGGATGAGTCCCAGAAATCAGGATTTTAAAAAGATTCCCAGGTGATTCTAATGTGCAGCCAAGGTTGAGAACCACTGAAATAGGATATCTTCCTATCCCAGCTGTTTTCTTTTTTTAGGAAAGTTCTAAACTCTGAAAACCACTCTTGTTCCCCCTATAATTTTTGCAGCTTAAAATTGCAACTCAGTACTGGTTTGGTTCCCACCTTCTCAGAGGGGCAGCAGGTTTTGTAGATCAAAGCTCATTTTAGTTTTTCTTTTCTTTTTCCCTTCTTTATATTTCCTTTCAAAGAAAAAATAAAATATTTTCAAAATATTGCTGTTTGGCCCTGGCTGGTTTGGCTCAGTGGATAGAGTGTCAGCCTGCGGACTAAAGGGTACCAGGTTCAATTCCGATCAAGGACAAATGCCCGGGTTGCATGCTTGATCCCCAGTAGGGGGCGTGCAGGAGGCAGCTGATCAATGATAATCTCTCATCATTGATGTTTCTATCTCTCTCTCCCTCTCCCTTCCTCTCTGAAATCAATTAAAATATATTTTTTAAAAATATTACTGCTTGAAGGTAGAGCTTTTTTAAATACGCAGATTTTAAAATTTCTGTTTGGGTTTGTGCCTATGTACCCCTGTGGAAAGATTGGATCTGAAACATCTCAGAGATGTCCCAGCTCCATCTTCTTTCCAAGTTTTCTCATAACTCCTACACACCATCACTGTCATTACTTGGTTCCCCTAGGACCTTGGTCGGCAACCCGCGGCTCGCGAGCCACATGCGGCTCTTTGGCCCCTTGAGTGTGGCTCTTCCACAAAATACCACGTGCAGGCGCGCACGTACAGTGCGATTGAAACTTCGTGGCCCATGCGCAGAAGTCGGTATTTTGTGGAAGAGCCGGTATTTTGTGGAAGAACCACACTCAAGGGACCAAAGAGCCGCGTGTGGCTCCCGAGCCGTACCATGGGATGCGCTGCTAGGACATATTTCTCTGCAGTCTAGAAATTCTTTCAGCTTTGGGACACAACTGAAGAGCATGTATTCCAGAAACTTGGTAGAGCAATTTACAGATTCTGTATGGGCATCTAGTACTTAGTTAAATGAACTCTACCTCTCTCTTCTCTCTCTCCTTTCTCTCTTTCAGCTTGGCAGTGACCTTGGCGGGGGCATTGGAGGAAGTCCGGCAGTAAGTGCCATCCATTTTTTTTTTTTTTACCATGGGATGCGCTGCCCCCTGTTTGATGCCTTTCCTATGCACACATTCTCAGACCAGCCACCACTATCTAGCACTATACACCAAAACTTTTATAGCAGTATATGAAGAATAGAGAGTAGCATAGGGATACTTGCAATCTTTGGGGTCATACATCACATGTGGTCTAGGGGCATCTTTAGGGATTGGTGCTCTAGTATTTACACAGATCTTTGTTTTCCTGACATTAGAGAGCTAAATGGAACCTCCCATCTCGACTGGCTAATACCTTTATTCTCTGGTGTCATCTTAAAATACTTAACAGAGTCAGTTGGGCTCAGAGTGGGACTCTCCTTGTAAGTTAGTTCTGGGGATGGGAACATCCTCCTCCCACAGGAGAGTTTCCTACTAGATATTTATGCCTAAAAGGGAGAATAAGACTTGCTGGACCCAAGTGGGAATGAATCTGCTGTCTAAGTTGGATGCTTCTCCTTCTTTCTGTAGAAACAAACTTTTTTCCTATAGGGTACTTAGAGGCCTTTTGCACAGAATCATGGAAGCTAAAATTGGAAACAAATAAAAAATCTTGGTCACTGTGTTTCTAATCCTACTGATTACTTTCTCTTGATAGAACCTAGTGTTTATCTTATCAACAATGATTAAAAGGACAAAGAATATACTAATTCAACTCCTAATAATATTTTGATTATGGTGTATTCTTATTGATTTATCAGTATTACTAAAATATGTAGAAACATTGTAAGGGCTATTAATCTGTTCTTCCTGATCCCCTCCCCTCCCCTCCCCTTTTTTTCTCTGCAGGTGGGACAATCCTTCATTCCATCATCAGTGCCTGCAACCTTTGCTCCTTCACCTACTCTTGCTGTGGTCAGAAGTTGTCTGAATGATCTATTTGAACTCTCTACGGGGATAGGCATGGTACATGGTGGATATGTGGCTCCTAAGGCTGTAAGTAAAGCAACACTTTCTTTTTATATATATATATATTTTTTTTCTTATTGATTTCAGAGAAGAGGGGAGAAGGAAAGATAGAAACATCAATGATGGGAGAATCATTGATCAGCTGCCTCCTGCACACCCTGTACTGGGGAATAAGCCCACAAACCAGGCATGTGCCCTGACCAAGAACTGAACCGTGACCTTCTCCTGGTTCATATGTTGGCGCTCAACCACTGAGCCACACCAGCAAGGCAAAGCAACACTTTCTTAATGGACGTGACCCAGATTACTTAGTTTCTATCATTTGTGTTACTTCTACTGATAATAAATTCAAGGTTTGGGCCCTTGTTTTGTACAGTTTAAGAAAAAGATGAAAGATGTCCTTAAACTTAGCAATAGGAAGTACTGTAACCATTTTTATAATCAGAGTTAAAATTGGCATTACTAAGTATTTGAGTTTTGTTAAATATTGTGTAGTTTGTCGACACTGAAGTCAATCTAGTATAAATTTGATATACCACAGGGGGAAAATACTGTATAGAGAAATAATATTTTTATTTCTCATTCCTTACATTCCTCCTTTCCATTGATACTACATATGGATTCTGGAGTGCTTGTTCAAATTTGGTGTACCTTTATAGAGTTCTGATTTAGGTTTTTGTCATTGGTGTTCTTTTAGTCTCAGCTTTACTTATGTCATGCTTACATAGAAATTCAAAAAGGGAAACTACCTTTACTGTAGTTTGGGGGCCAGGGGTGGGTAATGAATGAATTATATAAAGAAAATAGGTATTCAGATTATTTAAGCAACATCTGAGTTCTTACTGTTTACTGGAAACTATAGCAAGAATTAAAAGTATATATAAGACATAGTCCTTGCCCTTGAGAGTATTGATAATGATAAAAAAGCCTTCAAAGATTATAAACATGCATTTTCATTAGTAGATTCAACGTCTTCCCTTTCAAGCCTTTCACAAAGCTACTAACAAAATCACCGTAATTATCTAAGGAAGTGAAATTTCATCTTTATTTAAAAAAAATAGCATTGAGATAAATCTTACCTTGTTCCATTGAGCTCTATACTGTGTTTCAGGTCTGGCTGCCTGCAGTAAAGGCCAAAGGCTTGGAGATTTCTGGAACATTTACTCATTGTCAGGGGCACATCTATATGGAAATGAACTTCACCAACAAAGCTCTGCAGCATATGACAGACTTTGCAATCCAGTTTAACAAGAATAGGTAAGAAATAAGAGTCCCCAGCTAGATTCATGTGTACCTTGTGTCCAACAAGAGAATGTTCCATTAACGATGGGGGGAAATTCTCATGTTGGCAAATGCTAGATGTAGAGGGAATGCTGGCTGTTGTGCATCTATTGGTTGTCAGCTTCAACTCTGAAGGCCCTAGGGAATTTTGCTGGGAAACTCATCCCTGTAGAACAAGGATACCAGACCTTAATGCCTTCTTAAAGGATTCTAGGACTAGAATGTTTTTACCAAAACAGTTTATTTTAAAAAATATTTTTAATTTAAATCCATTTACTCATTCAACAAATAATTGTTTAGCATCTGTGTGCCAGACATTTCAAGATACTGAGATTAGAGTAGCAAACCAAACCAATGTGTGTCCAAAGCTCACATTTCAGTGGGAATAAATGGACTTTGGTTGATGTAAAAAAATATAGAAGACAATCAGTGTACCTGGTTAGTTGAATAATTAAATATAAGCTGACAGTCTGCTTTTAGCATGAATTCTCTGCTTTTATAAGGAGAACATGAAGACATAAAATGTTGATGTCCTACAGTTCTGAGACATCGCGGATTTTTATTCATTGTGACTCAGAAAACTGGCTGTTAGACTTTGATGGCAGGTCTGTTTATTCATAAATACAAGATATTCAAACTTGTTTCTAGCAAAGTAGTAATTGGACCCCTAAAATAAATTTAATTTGTCAGTAACAACTTACATTAGTTACTATCTTATCGTTGGCACTAACTGGATTTGAAAGTTTGGCACATTAGAAATCACTTAAGTATCTAGAAAAATCTCTGTGTTTTCTGTCAAGACCAGTTATATTTCCAGTCACTTTTAAGGGAGCTGGACATGTTAAAGGCCAAAACTGTTGGGAAAATATATTGTAATAAAGGCAATCTGCATTGTCTACCTTCACATTTCAGTCCTATTTGTCTTTGCTTTTGCTTTTTTAAATAGTATGATACTTAGAAAAGTTTTTATTTTGAGTTCCGATAGTTATACTTTTTCCTTTATAAAATACTCGTAGTCCCTGCTTTCTATAGATAGTCTATTAATTTCCTATTGTAACTTATATCTTCTCTTCTCCCCCATTATTTAATGTCATTAGTACTGTCTTTGGATTTACTTTTATACTCTTTAAGTATGCTTACACTTCTATACTTGATTTGTTATCTTTGACCTTCAGTTATGACAGATGAGACCAACTTGCTCTCTTTCCACTCCCTTGCTCCCTCTTTTGCTCATTGTGTAAATTGTATCATTTCTAAATTTTATCCTTTCATCTTTGGTTTTGTCTTGAATTTGTGCTTATTTCCAGACAAAGAAAAGCCAATTATACTATATCCCTTGTGACCTTTTTTTTTTTAATGAGGCAAGTTATATTTCTAATTTCTACTATTACTGTTTCTTGTAGAGTGATTTAGAAGCAGTATACGGTACAGAGGAAAGAGCTCTTTGGTTTTGGTCTAGCTGTTTTAATTTTTTTTTTTTTTTTTTACTGATTTTAGAGAGAGGAAGGGAGAGTGGGGAGAGTAAAACAGAGAGAGAGAGAGACATCCATCCACCTGTTGGCTGCCTCCTGCATGCCCCCCCACTGGAGATTAAACCCACAACCCAGGCATGTGCCCTAACCGGGAATTAAACCAGTGACCTTTTGGTTCATAGATCAACGCTCAACCACTGAGCCACAACAGCTGGGCTAAAATTTCTTTTTATATTCTGGATACAAAGTCCTTTGCCAGATACATGTCTTAAAATTTTTTCTGCTGTGGCTTGCCTTTCTTTTCTTTTTTTAATATATTTTTATTGATTTCAGAGAAGAAGGAACAGAAACATCAACGATGAGAGAGAATCATTGATCGGCTGCCTCCTGCACGCTCCCCACTGGGGATCAAGCCCGCAGCCCGGGCATGTGCCCTTGATTGGAATCGAACCTGGGACCCTTCAGTCCGCAGGCCAACGCTCCATCCACTGAGCTAAACTGGCTAGGGCTTGCCTTTATTTTCTTAACAATATCTTTCAATAAACAAACGTTTTTTTATTAAAATAAAGTTTATTTTACAATTTTTAAAATTTTTATGGCTTATGCTGTTTGTGTTCTAGCTAGAAACTTTTGCTAGACCCATAGTTACAAATCTTTTTTTAATAGACATGTTATATAGATTTAACTCCTATATTTACGTTTATAATTCATTTAGAGGTAATTTTTATATATAGTATAAATTAAGAGTCAAAGTACATTTTTTTCCCATAATAAGTCTTGAAATCAGATAGTATAAACTATCCAACCTTATTTTTTTTTTTAATTGTTTGGGCTATCTTAGATCCTTCGCTGGGATTTTGATTGAGTACAGTGACTATGCAGATTAATTTGGAGGAGAATTGATATCAGACAATATTAAGTGTTCTAACCCATCAGCATGTTATATGTCTCCATTTATCTAGGTTGTCTTTAATTTCTCTCTGCATTGCCTGAACCGGTTTGGCTCAGTGGATAGAGCGTCGGCCTGTGGACTGAGGGGTCCCGGGTTCGATTTCGGTCAAGGGCATGTACCTTAGTTGCGGGCACATCCCCAGTGGGGGGCATGCAGGTGGCAGCTGATCAATGTTTCCCTCTCATCGATGTTTCTAACTCTCTATCCCTCTCCCTTCCTCTCTGTAAAAAAATCAATAAAATATATTTTTTAAAAATTTTTCTCTCTACATTGTTTCATAATTTCACATACAGATCTTATTGCTAGTATATAGAAATATCATTGATTTTTCTATATTGAGCTTGTATTTTGCAACTTTGTTAAACACACTTATTAGTTCTAGTAGCCCTTTTGTAGATTCCTTAAGATTTTCTACAGAGATAAGTCATGTTATCTGTGAATAGAGACAGCTTTATTTTTTTCCTTTTCCGTCTTATGGCTTTTCTTCTTTTCTTTTCTTTTCCTGACTATACTATCGGGGATCGCCAATAAATGTTGAGTTGGTGTGGGTAAGAAGGGACACCTTTGTCATGTTCTAATTCTATGGGGAAATCATTCAGTCTTTCACCAGTAAGCACATTGTTAGCTGTAGGTTTTTCATGGAGGTTGAGGGAGTTCCCTTCTATTCCAAGTTTGCTTAATTTTATTGAGTATTGAATTTTGTTAGGTGCTTCTTCATTTAGTGAGATAATCATATGACTTTTTTAGCCTATTATATGGCAGATTACATTGATTTTTCAAATGTTATACCAATCTTGTATTCCTGGGATAAATCCTATTTTGTTGGGGTATGTTAACTTTTTTATGAATTGCTGGATTTGATTTGCTAAAGTTTTTTTTTTTATTGATTAAGTTATTACATATGTGTTCTTATCCCAGTGGTTCTCAACCTTCTGGCCCTTTAAATACAGTTCCTCATGTTGTGACCCAACCATAAAATTATTTTCGTTGCTACTTCATAACTGTAATGTTGCTACTGTTATGAATCGTAATGTAAATATCTGATATGCAGGATGGTCTTAGGCGACCCCTGTGAAAGGGTCGTGCCAAAGGGGTCGCGACCCACAGGTTGAGGAGAACCGCTTTATCCCCACATTACCCCCCATTCCCCCACTCATGCCCTCACCCCCCTGTTGTCTGTGTCCATTGGTTAGGCCTATATGTGATTTGCTAAAATTTTGTTGAGTATTTTTTGTATCTGTGTTCATGATGTAGTTTAGTTCATTTCTAACATGATTTATTCTTTTTCCTGAGTTTTATTGGCTCCCCTTCACCTTCTGTTGTCTGGCTGTCTCTTTCCCAGGTGCTTCTTTCGCTGTTGTGTGTTCCTTGGTAGCTGCAATTGCTTCATTAAGTGTTCTTTTTCCCTTAATTTCATGTATAATTGTCTCATAATTCCACTTATTTCAGTGGCAAATTATTTTCAAGTATGTTTTGCTTGTCAATAAGGAAGTTGTACTGCTGTTTTTCCACTTTTTAAGGATAGTGTTGTTGAATAGGTGCTGTGTTTATACCATTTTGATACTCATATTTGAATGAGTTGGAATTTGCAGGACTAGCTATTAGCCAGAGTTGTGGTAGAAAAGGAAGATAAGCCCAGGGTAGTGTTTTAGGCTTTGCTGCCCAAGAACACTCCTTTACTATGGTGTAGCCACAACACCTTTGCCTCTCAGAACCTGACTTGATTCAAGAAGACTTTTTTTTTCTGTCCTAAGCTCTGTAGATTCGTTTACTGGTCTCTGGCTCCAAGGAACATAATCCTGTCTTCAGAGTATTTGTTTCCCCTTCGAAAGGTGGTGCTGTGTGTGTGTGTGTGTGTGTGTGTGTGTGTGTGTGTAATTTTATTGATTACAGAGAGGAAGGGAGAGGGAGAGAGAGATAAGAAACATCAGTGTGCCCTGGCGCCCTGGCCCCAGTGGATAGAGCGTCAGCCTGCGGACTGAAGGATCCCAGGTTCGAATCCGGTTGGGGGCACATGCCCAGGTTGCAGGCTCGATCCCCAGTGGGGGGTGTCCAGGAGGCAGCCGATCAATGATTCTCTCTCATCATTGATGTTTCTATCTCTCTCCCTCCCCTTTCCTCTCTGAAATCAATAAAAAAAAGAAAGAAAGAAAGAAACATCAGTGATGAGAGAGAATCTCCAATTGGCTGTCTCCTGTAAGTCCCCTACTGGGGATCTAGCCCACAACCCGGGCATGTGCTCTTGACCGGAATCCAACCCCAGATCCTTCGGTCCACAGGCTGACGCTCTAGCTAGCCACTGAGCCAAACGGGCTAGGGCGAAAGGTGCTGCTTTTTTAGCTCTGTCAGTACCACCACCACCTCAAGTTTCCCTGGGGACTTTCTACTTTTTCTTTACTTCATCTCTATGTTGTTCCCTGTTTAAACAGTCCTACTCACAGCACTTTACACTAGGAATGGGGTTCTTTTCTGAGAATGGATATTTACAGTCAGTCTCAGAGGCCTCAGGACTCCCTGGGCCTCCCTGCTGCACCTCCAGAGCTTCTCTCACCAGTTCTGCTGATCTCATGTGCTGAGGCCACACTTAAATATAGTTTGGAGTTTGCAGGTTTTCTCTGACTTGTAGATTTGCAAAAGGGGCAGTTGTAGATTTGTAGGGAATATTTATCCCTTTTGTTTCCTTTGTATCATTTCCAAGAGGAGCAATTGGAAGATTTAGAACTAAGCTGCTGCCGTGTTTCTATGCCAATATTGACTACTGATAGAGTTTGTTGATCACAAGAGCAAGATCAAAAGAGCAAAATGTTTCTCATCGATGTTTCTATCTCTCTATCCCTCTCCCTCCCTCTTTCTAAAATCTATAACAAATAAATTTTACGATTTCATAGTAAGACAATCAAAAAAGGGGAGGAAAGATTTGAGCAGACACCTCCCCAAAGAAGATATAAGAATGAACAAGCTTATGTAAAAATGTTCATATAATTAGTCATTTTGGGAAATGCCAATTAAAACATAATATTGTTATATGTATATCTATAAACATGGCTAAGATTGGTAAGGATCTGGAACAGCTGGAATTCTCACACTTACCGTGTGACCCAGCAATACTGATGGGTACTGTACTCGCTGTCTGCCTTAGTCTTAGAAAGTGGCCAGATTTGGAACTACAACTTATCCTAGTCATTTGGAATATTTCAGCCAATCAAATTTTTTTGCTATACATAGCCTGTCTCTTTTCTAATGATTTTGTCCTACGTAAGTGAATAAAAAAGAAAGAAAATGAGAGTTGCCAGTAAATTCTCTGGACTGATCAGGCAGGTTATCAAGCTAGTGAAATAAAATAAATTTATTGTACTTTATAGGGGGTTATTTTTCTGTCTTTTTCTCTCAAGGATTATCTAAGGAAAGATGTATTTTTAAAAAGTTATTATCAATCTGTCTCTCATGATATGATAAACATAAGAAACTTTCGGAGTCAGAGCACTAGCAAAGTAATTCTGTCCTTATGACTGTTTATCCTTACTCAAAATCATTTAATAGAAAACAGAAGTTACATTGTAACCAGTGTTATAGTAAGTTAGACTTGACCATCTTGGGTCTTACTATGCCTTCATTTAATATTGTAAAAAATTATGTTCCTTCAAATGGAGTAAAAAGCCATTGAAACCCAATGATGCAGCTAAATCCTGCCTCCTGATTAACTTCTAGAATTTCTTCATCCTCTCTCCTAGCTTTGGCGTCATCCCCAGCACTCCCCTGGCCATCCATACACCACTGATGCCAAATCAGAGCATTGATGTCTCCCTGCCTCTCAACACCTTGGGTCCAGTCATGAAGATGGAACCTCTGAATAACCTACAGGTTCGAGTTTTACTTCACTCAGGGTACAAGTTGATATCTTGCCAATTTTATTTTATTATGTGTGTATGTATATAATTTATATTAGATTTGGTCATGGAATCAGATTTGTAATAACTCTGTGGTGAAGAGTTATTTATTTTTTAAAAGTCATGCATTGACATGGAAAGTTATTCTTTTACTCAAACATTTAGAAACTTTTAAAGTATCGTTTTTACAAACCTTTTGTTTTTAAAACTTACATAGCAAATTTGAGTGTCATTTATATAAAAACTAGAGGCCTGGTGTATGAAATTCCTGCATGGATAGGGTTCCTAGGCCTGGCCGGCAATCAGGGCTGATTGGGGCCATCTCGCCCACTCCCGATCGGGGCCAGGCCAATTGGGCCTGCTGGCCAGGGGGCAGGGACCGTGGGAGGTTGGCCAAGAGGAGGGATGGGGGAAGTTGGCTGGCCACGGGGAGGGACCCGGGGAGGTTGGCTGTGGGAGTGCACTGATGGCCAGGGGGCAGCTCCTGCATTGAGCGTCTGTGCCCTGGTGGTCAGTGCGCCTCATAGTGACTGGTCGGTCGTTCGGTCATAACAGTCACTTAGGCTTTTGTTTATAAACGCACACACACACATACACACACACACACACACACACACACACACACACACAGATTTCTCCCTAGCTAGTTTGGCTCAGTGGATAGAGCATCGACCTGCGGACTCAAAGGTCCTGTGTTTGATACCTATCAAGGGCACATGCCCGGGTTACAGGCTTGCTCCCCAGTAGGGGGTGTGCCAGAGGCAGCCAATCAATGATTCTCTCTCATCATTGATGTTGCTATCTCCCTCTCCCTTCCTCTCTGAAATCAATAAAAATATATTTTTAAAAAAGATTTCAATAGAGAATCGTGTGGAGGTTATTGTTAAACACACAACCATGTATAGTTAGTTATCTGGATTTAAATATCTGTTGTTAACACATATCTATGGTAAGTGTAGCAGAATCTTAGAGGAGTTACACAGAGCCTCTTAATCTTGAAAACATTGTAGTTTTTAGAATGTTTAAGTCCTTATTTAGAGTTTTATTCTGTTTTCATCTACTTTGAATTTCTCTTTGAAATATAAGCTTTCTGGGGCTCAAACAATGTGAAGGCTTAGTAAGCTTATGAGCTGAAACTGTAGCAGCCCTGAATGGGTATTAATAGAGATAAAAGCCCTGGAAGTTGGGGTTGTTTTCTGTTGTTATTGTTGTGTTATAGCACAACTTATTTCAAATGGACAAAACATTAGTATCATTTACTGTATCTTAAGATAAATTGCCTTTGAATGGGAGCTTCCTTTCCAGTACTTTGAGATGTACAAGATGTATCTAGAAAATTTACTACTATGGAAACTGAAGACTTTAAATTGAATGGGTGGGGGAAGGACATCTGGTTTTTCTTTTTGATTAATTGCTATAACACTTTCCTTCAGGTGGCTGAGGGAATATCATATTTTCTTTAGACATCATTAGACACCAAAGCTACTACAGGGCAACTTTTATGCTATCTGAACTTTGCCATTTTGCTAGCGCTCAAATGGCTCTTGGGTCCACTGCCCATTAGAACTATTAACTCCATCCATGTTAATTTTTGTTACAAACTTACAAAGGGAGGAGGTGCTTCTTGATATTTAGGTCCATATTCTATTTTAAGGCTATATATTTGGTTTTTATAAATTATATGAGCTGCCCTAGCCAGTTTTGCTCAGTGGTTAGAGAGTCAGCCCATAGACTGAAGGGTTGCAGGCTCAATCCTGGCTTCAGTTGGGGTGTGTGTGTGTGTGAGGCAACTAATCGATGTGTTCCTCTCACATGGATGTTTCTGTCTCTCCCCTTCCCTTTCAGTCTCTCTGAAAAAAAATCAATGAAAAATGTCCTCACGTGAGGATTAACAACAACAAAAATTTGTCTCAGCCCATGGTGGCTGTCATCTTGCATCACTATCATTCAAAGGCCAGCCTAAAAAGATGCCTTGTGAAGGATAATCTGAAGACACAGCAAAGAGGATTGGTATTCCCATCCTACCAAGAACTTGAAATGATAGAATAGTCTGAGACTATAAAATATGTTGGGGTTTTTTAAAATATATTTTATTTTTTACAGAGAGGAAGGGAGAGGGATAGAGAGTTAGAAACATCAATGAGAGAGAAACATCGATCAGCTGCCTCCTGCACACCTCCTACTGGGGATGTGCCCGCAACCAAGGTACATGCCCTTGACCGGAATCGAACCTGGGACCTCTTGGTCCACAGGCCGACGCTCTATCCACTGAGCCAAACCGGTTAGGGCTATAAAATATGTTTAAAATGACTAAAGAAAAATACCAACCTTCCACTTTCCAGTCAAGACAGGTGGGATTCCATTACTTACTCTTCTGGAAATATCAGTGTGAGACACTAGTACTGGTGGTGAGACATCAACAGTAAAATTACTTGAAGTTAAAACTAATGTTTCTCAGTAGTTTAAATAGCGACAAAACAAGCTTGTTTGCCAGTTCATTAACTACCTTGTTGCTGCAATCGTTGACTGCCTCTTCTTCAGCAAAGGGTATAATGATTTAGAATGAAGGTGGGTGAGTCACAATATAACATGGCTCAGACTAGAAGAATAAAACAAGGATTACTGTACAGATGGAATTGGCTATTACTATGATGAAGGTAAAGTGTTAAGGGGCTTTTCCAACACAGAATCCCAAAGTAAGTAACTAACCCAAATCTACATCTGCTTTCTTTTTATTGAGATCTAACCTCCTGTTGGCCCAGAGAGCCTCTAGCCTAATATTTGAGGACAGTCAGCATGAGTGCAAAATGCTTTACTTTAGAAATAAGAAATGGAATCTGGGTCACAGAAACCAGGACAAATTTTCTGCTCTTAAAAAAGAAACAGTAAATAAATGAATGTCAGTTTATTTTTCTATTTGCATTTTCATTTAAGATTCAATGAAATGAACTTCCCAAGTAGCAACCTTCATAATAGACTTTGAATCTTAGTCCAAACCCCTCCCTCAAAAGTTTTCATTTTTACAAACCTGTCTTTATAACAAGCAAACTTAAACATGTTCAATCTAAGTGGAATGTAATAAAACATCTCAACTTCTCTAAGAAATATGATTCCATCTGTAGTCAACTGCTGATCATCTTTTTCTCATGGATTCTCCTCTTTCAGGGAATGTCATAATTATGGCTATTTTCTCTTTAATTGGGATTTTCCAGTGGAGAAAATAACCAAAAAACTTGAAAAAAGAGAAACTTTTTTCCACTATAAGCAGCTCTATTTAATGTCTGCTGATGGAAGTTGCAACTAATGGTTAGCTTAAGGTAGGTGGGTAACTTTAGATTTCACTTCCATTCTCCCCTTATTCCAGTATGAACAAAAAGAATCAAATCCTAGACCCAGATAAAGCCAAATCAAGATTGATTGGCATTTAAACATTATATTTGCATAATGTTTAAATTGAAGAGCTCGTGTAGGAAAAGTTAGTACTTTTTTAGTACTACAGACTATAAAATCATGGAGAAAGAGGAGGGATATCTGGAGGTTGAGGAAATGATATTTTGAATGCAGTGTGTGATTTAGTTATTTTGCTTAATTTGATATCTGTATATAGGACAAGTTCATCAAACCCAGCTTCCAGAACTTTAATGTGACACTTAGTAAAAACACTTTTCTTTAAAATGTTCATCAGACTACTTGTTGGCTTATAATCTGTTTGAAACACTATTGAAAGGTTAAAAAGAAACTGTTTCCTCTTAAAATGTAAAATAGATTATACTTAGAGACACAAATTAAATACTTAATAGAGATTGGAATCTATGAAGTTTTTTCTACTGTACTGATGTTGGTTGTTTTAAAAAAAAAAAAAGCCTTGTGAATCCAAGTTATAATTATTACACAAAAAGTCTGAAGCCTGAGCCAGAACAGGCCATTCATATGGAAAAGACACTGCAAACAGCTTGAATGGGGCTGCAAATTGGGTGGGGCAGGGTCTCAGATAGTTACCAGGGCAGGACAAATAGTGTAAGCCAGGTTGATGGAGACTCAGATATGGTCACTGCCTGTCAGCACTGTGGGGAAGGTCTCAGCAAAGGAATAGTGGCCACTGCCAGCACTTTTTTCTGGGAGAAAGCTGCCCCCCAGCTCTTGCCCTGATGCCACACAATTTAGATCCTCTCCATAGGTCCCTAGATCCTTTCAAGCTGTTGCTCCAGCACTGGAGTTCAGAGAAAGTGAGTTCAAGTAAGTCTGTGCACTAGCCCTTTAAGAGGAACTGCCTGGGTCTCCAGCAGCTTCCATGTCATTCATCCGCAATCCCTACTGATGTTTACAGGCCTAAGTTACGGGGACTTCTCTTCCCAGCATTGGAACCCTGGTCTGAGGCGTCTGGTGTGGGGCTGGGACCCCTTTCTCCTCATGGGTAACCTTTGCAGCCAAGATATACCTTCCAATTAAAAAAACACCACAGGTGGATGTCGGACCAATCCATTCCACACCTCCACCCCTCCTACCAGTCTCAAATGTGCTTGCTTTACTTCTCTAGTTGTAGGACTTCCATTCAGCCAGATTTCAGGCAGTTCTAAATGATGGTTGTTCTGTGGTTTAGTTGTAATTTTGATGTAGTTGTGGGAAGCTGCGAGTACCATGGTTACCTACACTGCCATCTTGACTATCCTCCTTCCCATTATTTCTTCAATTTTTTTTCTGCCCAGTTATCTCTACTCCTTCCATAATTCCAATTACACATATGTTAGACCACTTGATATTGTTTTTCGGGTCACTGAGGCTATTCTTTTTGTTCTTCAGTTTGGGTAATTCCTGTTGATCTATCTTCAAGTATACTGGCTTTGTTCTATAGACTACAACCTTCTATTAAATCCATTCAGTATAATTTTTATTTCAGATATTATACTTTTCAGTTCTAGGATTTCCATCTGGGTCTTTGCTAGAGTTCCCCATTTGTTCACTCCAGATGACAAC